TGAATTTTAAAAAACTGAATCGAACCGAACCGAGCCCGAACCGATTTTTAAAAATTCAATCGAACCGAACCGAACTCGAACCAGAAAAGTTCGGTTCGTTTCGGTCTCTGATCCACACCCACACCCTAGCCACACCCACACACCCAACTTTATGACAAATCAGCGTTCATGTTAGCTAACCAATGTTTCTTTCACATAAAAATCTATCCGTTTATCAATCGAGCCATTCTCACTGTAACATCTTCCGCACACGTTCACCCTCGACCTCCTAGTGTTTATTTTCTCTCCAACAGAATGAATACAAAAAAATTGCCTTGATGTTATTGGCTGCGATGAAAAAAATACTATTACAAAAAGGAAAAAAACTCACTCTCCGTTATATACCTTCCATGTAAACATCATTTGAATTCATTCTTCAATGTTTTTTTCGTTGTAATGTAAGTATTTTCCATGCTTTGGAGTAGACCCAGAAAAGCAAAACTGATCAACACAGAATAAAAATTAATTCAGTTGGGTGATATACTAACTTGGTAAAAAGTCTCCGTTTCAAGTTGACCATCGTATAAGAAAAATAAATACATGTGATAGGTTATGCATGTCCTTCAGTATTACCATAATCTGCATCAGGAAGCCATGATGAATTTTCAATTCAGCCATTTTTGACAAATTAATAGATATAATAATATTGAGTTAATGGTCATTTGAATTTCAGACTCCCTATTTTTTGAATCGTCTCATTTGATTTATAATATGCAGGGTGTTGTAAAAGTACTCCAGGAAAGTATAACTTCCTATGATTCCATGATTTATTGAACTGAATCAGTTAAATTTTTCTCAGATGAAAGATATCAATGTGGAGTATTTATTCGCATGACAGGGATATCTAGTCCAAAAGAGGGCAAGCGGTAACGTGCAGTCTCGCTGGTTACCATTTTAGGGCAGTTTTTGAGGAATCCTTTCTGAGGCTAAGATCTGAAGCTCATACATACCAATGATGCTTCGATAAATCGAGAAACATGTGTGAAACGAAAAATTTTTCAGGAACTACATTTATTTTCGATACAGTCATTTATCAGAGGAAACATCTTTAGGATTTTTTTTTAAACCCTCAAAAGATTGGTTTTCCTCTAGTGCACTCTTCTTGTTGCCATGTTATTAATTATTCGTTCGCTTTTTCTTCATTGTCATTTTATCCATGTTTGATTTTGTTTTTTCTTTTGCAATAAATAATTGAATATCGGTGTAAGTGAACTTCTGAGGGTTTGATTAAACCACATCGATATTCCTCATCCACAACTTTCTTTGTAGAGTTGTAAAAGCATCCTTACCGCTTCTGTCATGTTTTTACTCGTGCTGATCTGAAACAGAAAAGTTTTGTTTATGTAAAAATTGTTTTTTGATAGAGTAGTCGTTATGGATTCAAAATACTATGATCGTGTATTTCTTTAGATTCAGATAACAACCATAAGCATGATTCTCGAATTGATATGCTTTATTATTGTTGTTTGTATAGTCTACATTCAACGTCGCATACATCAAACGCCAAATGTACCAGGTATGTTCTAAAAACTTAAAAGAAAAAATGGAGAGAAAATGTTTATATTTGTGGCGAATAAGATGCAGGAAATTGATGTCTGTATGACGTATGTTAAAAATTATTTTCAGATGAATCCGAGTATCGAATCATCCCTATTCCAACTGACGTTATACCGGCAAGTATGCCTCAAGTTACTGCTACTCATACTACAGATCAAGTGACTACCCTCTCTGTGACACCAGCATGGTTCGAGCCTGTCAAATTACTATCAGCAGATAAAATACGGTTTCCTACTCATTATAGAAAAGATTCTCCTGTCGATGTTCGAACGTATGAATGCCTCACTATGTACAGGTCGATGAAAAATAAAGGCCAAACAGTTGATTTTATTGTTCAGCCATTTTCTCCCACAGTTGATAACACTGAAGCCGTCGTGGTTGTGCTCAATGAACTTGTTCATGAGCTAGGTGGTCGTCTAAGTTTCACTGAGAAGGCCTTTCAGTACGACGACAGCGATTATCGAACAGCTTGTGGGATAGGTAATCTTGGTAGCATCCATTCAATAATCGCAGCGCAAGGAAATGTGCAGACAGCCAAATTTAAATTACATTTGAATCTTAACTATGATACAGTCACATCATCGGCTTCAAATTTGCAAAACTTCACTGTGGCATTTATAAATGATCTCGTTGCTCTTATTGGATGCAAGAAAGAATTCGTTAGAGTTTTTTCTATTAGTCGTGCATTGTCGATACACCTCGAATGTGGCATAACAACACCAGAAATTGAAGCAACAAAAAACTTAGCTGAGCAGCTGAAAGCCTCACTGAATAAATTGTCACCAAGTCAGCAAAAAAGCATTCTTCAATATTTGATGTCAGAATCCTATAGTTATAGAATGGAGACAGCACCAACCTTTCTGCAATTGCAAGAATCAGATTTTGATCCTCGATTTAATCGTAACTATGCTAATGCTCAAGAGGAAAAACGAGGTGGACGACCATACCACTTTCCACAAGGTTGGTATCGACATGCCCTTAAAGTCGAGGATAAATATCCTAACGACAAAGCTTGGCTCGGGATGAATAATTCACCGGGCGAGTGGATTGTCGCTTACCATGGAACGAAACCAGGCGTCGTTAAAAGCATTATAGACACTGGCCTACAGCACAAATTCGTAACCGCCGATGCTTGTAAAGCTGCAGCAGAACAGGACCCTAGAATCCCGAAAGTGAAAGGATTGTATGTTGCCACACATTGTGAGGGAGGTGCTTCAATTTATACAGGTAGTGGCACTAGAATTGAAGGTCCAGCAGGTACTTTCAAAACCTATCACACAGTGTTTCAATGCCGAGTCGAAAATAACAAATTTACAGAACATACTGGACCAGTGAATGTTGGGCTAGCTCTACGAGTATTTGATGAAAAGGCAATTCGGCCATATGGTATACTTTTAAAAACAACATGAATTGACTTCAAATCTTTCTACACTAAAATAAGTATACTTTGGAAGCTGACAATTACTTACGCTGTCGTAACATTATCGAACGGAGAATACACAGATGAAAACATATCATATATCCGTTCATGACTACCACAGGAAGGCTTCATTAGTTTTATCGTTTTCTTCTTTGCATCAAAATACTAATTATGAGGATAAACTACCCTTTCTATTGATATAATCATACTCAGAGAATATATCAAACGAGCTATACCTAGTCACATATAAAATAAATCTTTATGTTCCATTCAAGAACAATGTTTAGGTCACGATCCAGAAAACGTAATATAGGTGTGAACTGGTTATCATGCTCAGCTTTGATGATGATTGAGGGTCTCAGAATACGGCTTATCTATGCTTAATACTAATAAAAAAAAACATAACAATCTACCTCTTTAATGACATGTGAAGTAGCACTACTCTGAAAAAAAAAGGAGGTTTGCAGAACCCCTCAAAAAGGTTCTGTAGATTTCCGAAAGCATCCAAATGTGTCCAAAATCTCAAAAAACGGATAAAAAATTCGACAGAACCTTTTGAGGGTTCTGTCTTTTACCCAGTAGCAGAACCATCTCTTACAGAACCTTTTTTTAGGTTCTGTACAGCAAAAGAAGGGTCCGTGAGAAAATACGA